CACCCACAGTGACGGTTGGAAGGCCATATTTACCTACAAACAGAATAAGAAAAATGAGAAACATGCAAACTGAGTTCCTTCTACATCAAGACTCCATCAAGACAATGCGACTGCATGCATGTAAAAGTGAGCGTTGGAAAAAGACCCAATACCTGGATAAGGTACGAAAAACCATTTTGCGGTGTGAATCCCACCCTCGTAAGCGTCCGTCCGTGCCTTGTATTGGGGGTGTCCAGGGTCGTCTGGGAGAGCTCCAGTTAAAGTCAGAATGAGGCTCACTATCCAGGCAATCACTATCATGAATATAGCCTGAAACACGGGGAAATAGTTTTGCGTAAAATTCATTAAGTCTTGTCATTTCGTTATAACAAGCATTACGGTTGTCCTGATACTAAGACATTGTGGTTTCATTGATGTCGATGTTACGGAGCTGCAAGTAAAAAATGCCAAGGTGCAATAAGCCCTCACCGGTATAAGGACAAATATCTGGCAACTGGTTTTGTGGCAGCCACTTTCTCTATTCCACCATAAAAAGGGTACTTTGACATTCCTCATGTAAACAGCGCAAATAAACCCTACAGCAAGGGATCTGAAAAAAAAACGGAATTACAAAATTTAAGGTCATCTCACTCCGAAGATAATTCATATGAATAAATTTAAACAAAGTTAGGGCAAAGGAATAAGTGACGTTACTTACAGTGTCCATATCCCCCAGTGGACAGAGCCATAATCCGCGCACACATCAAATACCGACAGTCCAATCATGGCTACGGTAGGCGCAATAGTGAGAGGTCCTATGTAGTTCATTAGAACGCCGATCGCTCCCGTACCACCTAAGATCACTTGAACGAGGGAGGCAACCATAAGACTCCCCTGGACTTCGTTAAGCTTTTCCTGCCAAATGGCCTCCCTGTCCATTGCGTCGGTGCCATTAGGCGTGATGTTGAAATACGCACTACTGCCATCTACGAAATATATACATGTACAAGCAACATGTAATGTGAACAGAGAAAAGTGCATTTCTTAAAGCGGCTCAGATCTGCTGTTAATTCGATTTTTTAACCTGCAGCTGATGCTGAATTTTAGTATTTGAGATATCCATCAGCCAAGGTACATGTGACAAGTAAATGCATTAATGCTTTTCATCTATCTCTCTGTTTAGAATGTATATGTCTCTATTTGCGGCAACTGCAATCAAATACTGTAAAAAACTAAAAATGTATTACCTTTTAATATATTTTCAGCGTCACATTTCGCTCTCTCAATTGTAAGCATGGCTATTAACGGTGCAATGAAGGAAAAACTACTGCCTTGGATGATTGGAAGTCTGTAGAAAAGGAATAACACTGAAATTTCTCGTATTTCTCGGAAGATCTAAAACTGTTTTATTATTTAAAACTTTAAAACGCTCTAAAATTAATTATTTTAAATATGCAACTTTTTTGACTCGATTTGTTAGTTTTTTTCATAGTTCTTCACAATAAATTAAAAGACAACAAAATCTGAGAGGTGTTGTTCCAATGCCCCCGTCACCCTGTGTTATTTTTCTGATTCTTACAAAGACTGGTACTAAACACGAAAATGACACGAGAGAGAGAGAGAGAGTAGTTTCACCTCACTCCAACGCTACACTGTAGCAGTGTTACAACCCCACAAGCAAATATTGTTGCGCTGAACAGTTCCGCCCGCACCTCTTGGTTGTCCACAGCACAGATGAGCTTAACAACGATTAGAGGGACGGAAACGCTGCACGTGATGCACATTACACTTTGCTGGTGACCGAAAATAAAATAGGTATAAAAAAATTTAAATCAATTATGACGGACAGATAGCACCCATTTTACCCCACCCCGAGTCAAACTCGTTTGTGCTTCGCCATTTGCAATTGCTTTTACTTTTTGTGATTCATTTAATTTACTTTTCTCTGTAATTCATGTTGCTTTGAAGACGCTCGTGTTATGTTGCCTTTCATGATGATACACCAGCAAACTAGTCCTTTTCCTTCTTTTCACCAGAAGAAGGTTAACAATGCGTAGGGAAGTCGTGAATATAAGGCGTTGCCTTCAAGTTGGACAGCACAGACACTCCAATATTTCTAAAGACCCAAATATTCAAAAATCATCTATCATGTACAAAAGTTAATTCATTTTGGACCATACCTGAAGCGCAAAAATCAATGTAGTTGGTATGGATGGCACGGACCTGATGGGATATAGCAGCCTCTCCTCATTTCCTTCTGTCTTGCCGTACTCTTCAGAGACCTCTGGTTTTGTTGCAGGCATTGAAATAAGGACATTTTGTTCCTGTCCCTCGGCTTAAAACGCACAATGAATATAAAAATTGGTAAAAGACAAACGGCAATTATGACCTGTTGGTTATGAACATTCAAGGATAATTATTATTGCCTTATTATTGCCTCATTTTCTACGTGACATGGATTATTGGAGTAACTTTCTCGTCGTGGTGACATGAATTACCAGTACGTTGTCTCAAACTCTATAACCTTCGATGTCATGGATTGACTGTTATATGCCTGGAAGTATAAACGCACTGGAAACAAAATTATATTGAAGAAAATCTAAAAAAAACACAGCCAAACAGCTAACGCGGTCAGTCCACTGTTTAATCAGTGCGATTCCAAACTGAAGTATGACCAATATCCCAGTTAAATGTTCACCACTGTCGGCCAAAACCCATAAAGGACAATAAAGGCATTGCCCTGTATGCTACTAGCACAAGTGCTTATCGTAGTTCAGTGGCTCGAACACCGTTTACAATATGACCCCATTTCAAACAGTGCCACATTTTAGACTCTCCAGCTGGTCGTGGCCACATGTATGTTTGCCATATGTATTTAGTATAAACATATATGTAAAAAAACTTCAGAGTAGAAAGCCTTTAAAATTCTACCTGTACCCATTTAAGTGGTCAATAGTATTATTATCGTCATCATTGTAATTATAATTATTAAAACTCGTGTTACAATATTACCCCGATGGACATTTTAAATATCAGGCAGAACAGCTTGTTGCAGTGTGAGAAGTATCCCGTCCCATTGAAATTGCCTTATCTACTCCAATATGACACAATGAAATAGGATGCATTACGCATACCAAGTACATAAACATTTTTACGTAACTGTTGCTTACGTTGAGTGGATATAAAAGAGCTAAAAAACGTTATTTACCAGTGTCAGTGTCCGAGCAAATGTGATCCGGCATCTTTCTGCGGCAGTGGTTGTACGAACGCGAAGAGGGATTGGCTTACATGTTGGTCTTTAATTCAAAACGTATGTGTTTGCGCGCTTGCTTACATTGAAATTGTAGTAAACTGAAGTAGGTTTAGTTTAACGGGGTTAAGCTCTACTCTACTTTTATATCAGTAATATGGCACGCACAGCTCGTGCAAGTATCAGAGTGAAAAAAGTCGTAGTGCGTATAGGGGGCCTTGAAATATACAGCTGCTTTTACATATAGCTGAAAGCCGAATTGGATTTCCAAGGAAGCTGCACATGCAGTTTTCCTCTTAAAAACAACTACGGTATTTGTTGGCTTTTGTTCTTTCTTATAGCTATGTAGCTATGAAGCAGGGCTACAAATTCTTCCCTTTAAAATGTGGTTATATTGACACAAACTGAAAACATTTTATCTTTTTCACCCATTTCGAATCTTTTTATCCCTCTTTCTTTGACAATTCCTAAAAAATAAAAAATAAATAAAAATAAAAAAAAACGACTTAAAACTCAATCTGTTTAAAAGGACCCTTAATTCAATACATAAAGAATTTTATTTTTATTTTTTATTTCACTGTTATGCAGTTTAAATTAAGAATGAAATAAACCTGCGTGCTTTAGGAGCAGCTCATGGAGAGCGCGTTCATGTACCCCCCACCTTACGTGCGATGTGGTAGACTACATATATAAAGTACATATATATTGAGAATAGTTTGTATTGTCATTACATGTAGTTTGGGCACTCGCATCAATAGCTGTATTGATTACCATGACAACATAGACGATTTGATCGATACAACTCGAAAAATATCACGAACTTCTCAAATTATTTTTCAGTATTGCAATTTTATTACGTAAATTCCACATCAGGATATCATGATTTTAATATTTTTAGAATAGGAAAAAATACCACTCTCGTGGGTGGGGAAATAAGAAAGAACTGCTAGCGGTTTACATCACAAACAGAATATGTAAAAAAAAAAAAAAAAAAACTAACCGACTCTATTAATTAACTATAGGCCTAAAACGATATTGCCCCATCAACACAGATGTATATCTTGATTATTCTGGGTGATTCCTCTTGTTTTCACATTGGTTGGCCCAACTCCAGGTCATGATGGGTCAATTATATAGGTGGTCGATCGTTCAATTATAGGAAAAAGTATAATAAAAATATAATGAATTCTACATCTTCTAGGGGACTCACCAACCTGTATTGGAGTTCGAGCAAATCCGATCTGTCATCTCTAGTTTTGAAAGATGCAATGTAATAGGTCACGTGATGTAAGTGAGCGGCCAGAATGAGAGGCGGGTGATACGGATGATTATTCTTTGGTGTGAATTCTGCAAGCGAGATTTTTCATGAATAAAACATGCGCTATCTGGTCTGAGAGGTATAGGCCTACTCAATAGCCGCGAGTTTATCTTAGATGCCAAAAAGATGCCAAAAGTGCAATTTTCTCCTATTCACAAATCATAGCTCGCTTGGGTTCGAAGTTTTAATTAATTTTAAATTTAATGATTTAGTTCTAAATGAAGGGCCATATCTTCCTGTTCATATTTCTAATGGTTAACAAAACTAACGTGTAATATTAGCGTATATTTAGCGTATAACGTTTAATTTATTACGTCATCTCCTTTGCACGGCATAACATAACTACAGTGACCTTTGTGACGTAATGCTGCTACGTTGACAACAACAATGCTCAGCAACTTAAAAGTCAGCACCTAAAAGCGCGGACCTCCGTGCTTTAAACGAAAAAAAAACATGCTTAACAGGCTTTTGGGGAAAAAGAAAGAGCAAGCGGATGACAAAGAAGAGTCCTCGGGTAAAGAAAATGAAAATAACAAAGACTGTGAGAAAAGTGATGCATCTAAGTCTGCTGGACCAAATAAAGTCTCTGTTCTGGAAGCTTATGGTTTTACCGTTGGGCCAACTCTAGGTACTGGATCCTATGCCACTGTCAAGGAAGCCTTTTCATCCCAGCATCAGAGTAAAGTGGCGATCAAAATTATCTCGAAGCGAAAAGCGCCATCAGATTATCTGAAAAAGTTTCTACCAAGAGAAATAGATGTGGTCAAAATATTGCGGCATCCAAATCTAGTTTGTTTCTTGCAGTCTATCGAAACTACTAATAGAGTGTATTTGGTGATGGAAATGGCGGAAAATGGGGATCTTTTAGAAGTGATAAAAAAGAAAAAGTATATCCATGAAAGACAAGCTGGGATATGGTTCATTCATCTAGTGCACGGCATTGATTACTGTCACCGCAAAGGGGTGGCTCATCGAGATCTGAAGTGTGAAAACTTGCTGTTGGACAGGCAGAACATTTTGAAGGTTACAGACTTTGGTTTTGCTCGTGGAGGACTCAACTATTTGTCTGGAAAAGATTGTTTGAGTCAAACATACTGCGGCAGCTATGCCTATGCACCACCTGAGATTCTGACTGGGACGCCTTACGAACCTTTCATAGCAGATATATGGAGTATGGGAGTTGTCTTATTTATCATGGTAAAACTCTTTCTTTCAAAGTGAATGTTTTATCTTTCTTTTATTCATACGTTACCTCTGTACAAGGTGCACTGAAAATTCGTGAATGTATTTTTCATCGTTGAATATTTGTATGGGCAGCGTGCAACGTACACTTGTCTACAAACGACTCGAGCCGTTTTGCCGCATTTATCAAACAATTCTTGAGACTACGTTTTCTGATATTGGGGCAAGAGTTGACTTCTGTCAAATGAGATGGGGATAATTATGCAACCTAAGAATTAAGAATTAAGTGCCCGTGCATCAATTTTTTCCTTAAAATATAGAAAAAAAGGGACAGAATTTTTTGCGGAGGTGGGGGACTAGATTTTTTATGGTAAAGACTTTCAATCCTAAAATTATTGGAAAATGTGAATTTAATCTAGGAGAAATTGAAACACGTATATAAGAATGAAACACACAAATGAGCTTTCTTTTAAGCAAAGATCTATGCCACTAACATTGTGAGAGTCCTCACCCTTGCTTTAGTGTCCCTAAGCTGGTTTATTTGGTTTGGGAGTTTCTTTTTTATTTTGTTTGTTAGTCTAAAATAAGATGTGTAACTGATACACTTATTTTTAATGTATTACATATTCTAGGTGTTCGGGCGTCTTCCCTTTGACGATTCCAACCACAAGAAACTCCTTAATGAGGTGCAGAACAAAGTGGTATTTCCAGGTGGAAAGGACTTTGTTCCAGACGATTGCAAAGACCTCATATCAAAGATCCTAGTGAAGAAACGCGATCGTTTGTCGCTGGAAGAAATTTCAGAGCACCCTTGGATCATACGCTCGGCCCCTGCACCAAGACATGTGGCACCCGTAGTGAAGAAAGTCAGCCAGGAGATCTCTTCATTGGTTGCCGCTACCGCTGGAGAAGAGAAGGCGTCCTAAAATCATTAATGGCTGAAAAGACAAATAAAAGACATTCAAGAAAAACATTTCAATATAACATCTATGTATATTTACTGTGTCTGCAAACGGTTCCAAAATAGATTTTGGAAAAATTGTAGGCCTACAATTTGCTCAGCTATATCTTTAAGGTTTTCAGTGTAAATCGAAATTGCTAAAAGTATATTTTGGTTGTATTAAAAAATAAATCAAGCTTATTTTCATCTGAATAAAGCAATAAAATTAATGATCCAAGATGTTTATGAAACCTCTTTGCAACTGCATAGAGAAAAACTATTTTAAACTTTTATCCATTTGCCTGTTAATAATATTGATTGAACAATTCTAACACTATTGCTGATGTCTGTTCTTTTCTTCCTTTTCTTTTGCATTATGCATTTTTAATTTTTTCACTTACATTTAAACATGCACAATCTGAGAAAATGAAAAAGGCCTTAATTAAATTACGTTAACGTCATCCCTTCGTCAGAAGATGTCTTTTTTCAATGATGAATTATGGCACTTATCTGTTGAAATAAGATCGACATGCAAGTATGAATTATCCTCAGATAAGTTTGACGAGCAGCGCGGTTTATGTAGGCCTACTTAACGCACGTACGAATTTTTTTTAATCTTGCACTTATTAAATTTGTTTATCTACATATCTATTCTTATTAATGTTTTTATATTTTTTCATCATTATATAATTATAACATTTTATTTTATCTATGGGTCAATTAGGCTACTAGGGTCTTGACGTGAATGCTTTTTTACCCGTAACGTACACGACAATCGAATTAGTAGGCCTATTTTTAAACCGTTAAAACCTCTTCTGTTCATTTTACAGATAAAAAATGGGATTGAGAAATAGGAACTCTAGAATTTTGGGTTGAATCTCTATTGTTGACATTTTTCTAAAACTTCTTTCTATTCAAGTATTGCTGCCGCCTTAAGTGCTGATTGGGCTTGTCTTGTGACTTTTATTAAAGGGACTTGACCTACTTTGAATCATTTCGGAATCTCCCTCGGCGCGATGTGTGCGCTTCGAATCTCTCTGCTTTCGGGTTGTTTTTTCATCATTTTTTCTCTGCCAGCCACAAGAGGAGAACCCATGAAAATCAGGAAACATGGTAAGTTGAAGGTTCAATGCAATCTAGTCCTAGGTGACATTTGGATGTTTAGACTGCAAGTTATAATACAATTTTAATTTTTTAGTGCACATTAAATTTGAGTAAGACGATAGGCATAGACAATATCAACAGTAATTCTTGAGGACATATACATGTAACTTTGAATTACAAAGAATATTTACCACTGAATAGGTGATTTTTACGAATACCGGTCCTTTTTTAAAGAAATTCAACTTCTTAAACATTACCTAGTGGGTAATGTTTAAGAAGAAGGTTATGTTTCAGTCAGGTAAAAAGAAACATTCACTGTGACATCAGATGGCGTTATACACTCATATGTACACTGTGTACAGTCTTATTGCAAGATTATTCCTATTCAGAAAAGGCAATGAAATATTTTTTCATTGTTAATCTGGATTAAGTTACCTTCTCTAATGCCACTCAATGAATCCATTTTTCAGTAAACTTAGCTAGTTTGCTGTGTCAACATAAAGTTTGTTTTGTGTACTGGGGTACCACATTCAGGTGTGGTGTTAATTGTTGCTTTTATTTAAACCAGTGAAATGAATTTACTTTAAGCTGTAACTTATATATTGAGATAGAATAACACTGGTAGAAAAATCAGAAAGAGTTCCCAGTAGCACAAAACAGCCATGCTTTTAGTGTGAAGTACCATATTTTTTCTTGGAATTGGCAATCAATTTTATGGCATCTTGGTATAATGAAATGTGACCGAAATCTTCTGTGCTGAAACTTTACACCATGACCTTGAAAAAGTGTGAAAATAGTGTGGCTTGAAGGCAGATTTCATGATTCCTTTCGATTCACTTTCATGTGCAGAGATTCATCCAGTCCTGTCATTTTTAGATGGCTTCAATTGTCATGAATTCCTGAATAATTTACATATGCTTACAACTATGGCTTTACAATAATTATAATATTTACAGCATTAAAACTAACTACTTCTATTTATGAAATTACACAATCTCAAGTACAAAGAAATGAAGATAAATTTCCACTAGAATTAGATATCTGTGATTTTGAAGACTGTAAAGACTTGGATGTTAGAGATTTTGTGAATAATATATAAAAATTAAAAAATAAAGCAAAATTAAAAAGTAAGAAAAAAAGGAGACTCAACCAAATGATGTAGACCATCAAACTCCAGCTAATACAGGTTTCCTCAAGTCTCTTAATTTGCCACATGGCCGTGGGTGTTGAATACAAATAGGTTGAAACTTCAGCACAGCTGTGTGTGAGATTTTCAGTTTACAATAACTCTCCTGTGTCTATATATAGAGGTTATATGTCCCCCATCAATCTTAAAAAGTGGCATTTTTGTAGGTCTCTGATAAACTACTAGTATTTCCCTATTAAAGTCATTAAAGGAGTTTCTGCCAGATTTGAACACAAGGATACTTTTTGTTTCAAAGAAGAGGTGGGGGGGGGGGGGGGGGGGGGAGAGGTAATTTTCTAGCCAAGGGTAGACAATAAGGTAGAAATTGGAGGTAATTTAAATGAATTTGAATGTATAGTAAGCACTCCCCTAGAAAGTTGGTCTGAGCATGGATACTGAGTACCTCTGACCCTGAGTTCCACACTAGTGCAGAGATTATTTTGTGAAATACTGGTGGAGCCCTCCAGAAGACATCTGCTGACAGGTTTTCTTGGCACTGACCAGAAATGAGGAAGAGACCAACAATTGAAATAATATTGCTGGTTTTGATTATGACTTGAAAGTGTGAGAACCTAACAAACCAGTTTTATGTTTCAGTATAGCACAGCTACGTCTCATCTGATACAAACAGACTGCCACTGTTATTTAACATTTATGAACAATAATGAGGAACCAAAGTGTTTCACATATAAACATTGTGGTACATGTTACAGGCGAAAGCTGCTAGCGTAATAAAAGCAATAATATTTTTAATGTTTTTTTTTTTTTTTTTACTCTTCTGTGAGAGAAGAAAGATTATTTATACAGCACACGTCATGCAAATTCATTGCAAATAATTGTGAGATAAGTAAAAAGGTCAATAAAGATGCAGATAAAGTTATCAGTAGAAGAAATGAAAGCCAGGCACCTGACTTTTAAGAAATGTAGAATTGACCATGCAGGGTACTAGTACCTAGATGCCTGTAAGGTCAAGCTCCTGGCAATTAAAAGGCCGTGCAGTACGCACACATTTGCACCAGCAATATCAGCTGACTACCAGGAAACCACTCTGGTCCACAAATGATTCTCAGTGTGTGCAGAACTCCGAATTCAGTTGAAACAACTCCAATGTGTGAATTATTCACAATATTGGCAGAACACTGAACTGGTTTGAAACGGCCCCAGTCTGTAAATTATTTGCAGTGTGAGCACAACACTGAACTCTTTGGGACTGTGTAATATATTATCACAAATGTTTTCATTTCCTGTCTAAAATTTGCCATTGGTGGTGGTGGGATATTTTAATTGGTATAATGTACAGTAGTTGTTTCAGTTCAAAGGAGCGCCACTTGCTCTTTTGATAGATTGTAAGATTGATGGATCAATTGATGGATAAAGAATTGTTTGGAGCTATTAATTAATTTGTTTATTCACACTTGTATAGCCTAACACTATTTTTTCACCTGATTTCTACTTTTCATGTGTTTTAGTTGTGGATGGAAGCTCTAAGTTACCTAATGCAGAAAATGACAGGTATCAACTAACGGGGAGAGATGAGCAAGACATTGTGAAGCTTATTCAGAAAGATGGATATATGCTTTATGAGAAAATACAGCATGATAAGGCAAGTTGACTTTGTAATTTTGTATAAAGATTGTAACAGTTGTTATTAAAAGTGTCAGATTCTCTTTGAAGAGGTTGTTGGTGATATCATCTGTGCTTTATTGAATAACTTCAGATATTTGATTTTGAAATGTATTAATTAATTTTTTATGCAGAACAAGTTGTTACCTAGATGCCGCCGTGCTGTAACAGCATTACCAGAAAGACTGTGGCCCAATGCTACTGTACCCTTTGTAGTTGGACCCAATATCACAGGTAAATGATATATGACTAAATGTTTGCCTGTATAGTGTGTGTGTGTTTGTGTGTGTGTGTGTGTGTGTGTGTGTGTTTAGATTTATAGAATACGTGGAAGTAGGCATCAATGATTATTGTCGCATTCAGTAAATGGGCAGCTGGTATGTAACTGTTTTAGTCAAATTTGAGTTTTTGTCTGTTGAGAGAAGGATTGCAGAGAAAGCCACCTTGTGCAGCAGACGTGTGTAGTGTTCACAAATATAATCCCCAGACATGTAAATTAATTTGATTAGAGTCGATTGCTTGTGCACTCGACTCGTTTTATGGCCTTACCTGTAGTCATGTAACTTAAGTGGACGTGTGCAATTTGAATAATTAAAATTAGTATGCACCGCCAAATACTGCAGCACAGAATCCACCTATAGATAAGAAATATGTATAAAAGATGTCTAGAAATAATATTGGGGGGGAGACTGAAGAAGACTCGAAGGAGACCGCTCGACGGAGCCATGGGAGACGGCCTTGAGCTGGGAGATTTCACGTAGATGATGTAGTTAGACAGAGTCAACCAATAAACCATTAAACTGGTCATTATGTGGACTTGGGTTTTCTTTGCGCGACCTAACGTAAATCTGACACGAACCGTGGAATTTTGAATTGCGTTATCCACTGAGTAAGTCTAAAACGTAATGTCCTATTTCGAGCCCACGCTTGAATTAAGCGTTCTAAATTATATAAGTTTAGGACATTCATCTCATATGTACACGTGGTTGTCTTTTGTACTTTATTCCAACAGTTCTTTTGGCTGTATGTTCAGACCTAAAGTGGTTTTGGATATAAGCCATATGCTTCATAAACAAAAAATTCATTGTCTGTCCTCATAAGAGTTGAGGTTATTGGAGTTATCTTAATAAATTGTACATTGTACATAGCACATCTATTTAATCAGACTGAAATTAATTAGTTAAATTGAAATCATATATATTAACATCAATTTTTTTTGTATGAATTAGTTACATCAATATATTTGCTATTGTCACACAGCATACTGTGTGCATGAATAAATTTACTCCATTTACTCCATAGTTGATACTGAAAATTGATAATAATAATAGTAATATTTGTATTAATTATGATACAGCTGTCATGCTTGCCACCATTCACCAGGCTATGGCACACTGGGAAGAAAGCACCTGTATCAGGTTTGTGAAGAGAACTACACAGAAAGACTACATTGAGTTCGCTCCGGGAAGCTGTGGGTAAGTGCGGTCAGACCATGACACCACATGCCAGATTTCCAAAGGAACTAAAGCAAGTTTCTGACCAGTGGTTACTTTACTAAAGTAGACTAAATGAACATTTATCCTGAATTGTAGTAGACCAAAATTTTTAGTCTTACTGTATAGACCAACTTTGGGTCTTAGGTTCTGTTGTGAAACCAGCCCCATCAAAAATTGCTTGGACTTGCTTCTTACATTTATTTTCAAAATTTCGAGTGAATCCAGTTTCGTTACCATTTGTAATTAAAAAAGGAATAACTTTTTCCTTTTTATTTTTCATATTTTTCTCTATCATATAGAATCCTTGATTAGAAATTGATTCTAATTGATGTTCATTTTTTTTTTAATTAATTTTATTTTTTTCATATTTTAGCTGTTGTTCATTTGTTGGTCGCCGTGGTAATGGTCGCCAGTACGTTACGCTGTCTCCACACTGCACATATTATGGTGTTGTTATTCATGAGTTAGGTCATGTGATTGGATTTTGGCATGAACACAGCAGGTAAGAGCAAGCAAATGTAAAAGTATGATATATATAATAAGTAACATGAAAATTTCTCCAATTTTTAAGATAAAAGAGATTGGTAGATTCATTTAACAATTCAGATCATTTTGAAACTAGGCAAAGTGAAATACCGTATTTTTGTGATTTATCTTTTGGATCCCATGAACTATTATGCTACTGTAAATGGTGATGTGAATATATATAATGTAAGTTTGTACCTCAATACCTAGTAATGTTATATTGACCATTAAGTACTCTAAGATTTGATAGAGTAATGTACATCAGCCGCACATGCATATATGCACTAACAGCACATTGTGTCAGCTCTATGTACACATACCTGCATGTAAATCATGTGTGCATAATTTTCACATTTGTAACTTCAGACCAGACCGTGACCAGTACATCACTATTGTCAAGGACAACATTGAAATTTCTAAACAGGACAACTTTCAGAAGAAATCCATCTTTGAAATTGACTCACTTGGACAGCCGTATGATTACTACTCTATCATGCACTACAAGGAGGTATGATTTTTTTCTCACNCATGAAAATTTCTCCAATTTTTAAGATAAAAGAGATTGGTAGATTCATTTAACAATTCAGATCATTTTGAAACTAGGCAAAGTGAAATACCGTATTTTTGTGATTTATCTTTTGGATCCCATGAACTATTATGCTACTGTAAATGGTGATGTGAATATATATAATGTAAGTTTGTACCTCAATACCTAGTAATGTTATATTGACCATTAAGTACTCTAAGATTTGATAGAGTAATGTACATCAGCCGCACATGCATATATGCACTAACAGCACATTGTGTCAGCTCTATGTACACATACCTGCATGTAAATCATGTGTGCATAATTTTCACATTTGTAACTTCAGACCAGACCGTGACCAGTACATCACTATTGTCAAGGACAACATTGAAATTTCTAAACAGGACAACTTTCAGAAGAAATCCATCTTTGAAATTGACTCACTTGGACAGCCGTATGATTACTACTCTATCATGCACTACAAGGAGGTATGATTTTTTTCTCACACTAAAACAAGCAAACAAATTGTTTCACTTTTAACATTTTTTATATAATTTCTTTGTACAAACCAGAACATGAAGTTGTAGCAGCTTTATACTTTCCAGCATATCTATATTTCAAATTCTGAATATAAAAAGATAGGATAGTGATATGTGCAACCTGTTGTTTTATTTCAGAAAACATTTAGCAAAAATGGCAAGGTCACCATAGAAACTATTCAGCCAAATATCCAGATTGGCCAGAGAGTGGCTCTCAGTCCTGGGGATATAATGCAGGCCTCACTACTGTATAATTGCCCAAGTAAGGACTTTGGTTTCTGTAGCTAGCTTTTTTGTAAAAGGCAGATTTAAATTTACATAGTGAGTGTAGAAAATATACGTTGTTTCTTAAAAACTGAGTTCAAGAGAATGAAGTAAACTAATTTATATCAGTATTACAATAATTTTATTGTGAAATTTACCAAAAAAAAATCATTTTCAGGGCCCTCCTGTGACAAAGTATTCAATACAAGCTATGGCAAGTTCTCCACACCAAATTATCCCATCAAGTATTATAAAGATCATCAGTGTACATGGGTTATACATTCAATACCAGGTAGGATTACTTATATAGGGGTGAGATTTTTCCATCTGTTGAGGGACTTTCGACATTTTGGGAATCAAAAATATCATTGGCCTAGGCGGCCCCCTGAACCCCACATCGTATTTTCTGATTTTTTCACTGAATGGCAATCTCACCTCTGTTATAAGATGGGGTTTTAAATTGGATTTTTGTAACCACATGTATTTTTGAAGTTAATGTTAAAAAATACAAAGCACATTTATGCATTTTATTTTATAATTGTTATTTTAATGATGAATATAGAATGAAAATTGTTGAAAAAATTATAAGAGGATGTAATTTTAAAAATGATTGATATACTCCAGCAGATATTGCTCAAATAGAATGGTATATAACTTTTTCTTCATTTCTACATTGTGCATTTAACTTTATCTCCTAACCAGGTCACATAGTCCACCTTGAGTTCAGTTCTTTCTCCTTGGAGACCTCTATGAACTGTACATTTGACTACATAGAGGTTAGGGAAGGCACTAGTGAGCACGGCGCCCTGATTGGCCGGCTGTGTGGAGAGGGCAGCACTGGTATTATCCACTCATCTGTTGGTCTGTGGATCAGGTTCCACAGCGATGCCACAGTGTCTCTGAAAGGAATGGAAGCCGAGTTCAGGTTGATTAGTATGTAAATATATGAAGCTATTCAGTACCTTAATTATAGAAATGTTTGTGTGAGAATGTTAATTGATTTTTTTTTGCCAGATTCTAATTTGATTTTATATCTGTAATGTAGATGTGGGACATTGGTCAAGAATGTTGACAATTGAATAAGCTCCAGTTATATCACTCTTTTGTTCTCTGAATACTGCAGCTACATGTGACAACAACTCTTACAAAACACTGGTTTAATGCAGTCTGTTGTAATAAATTCATCATTATACCTTGTAATGTTATTTAAGAAACAAAGTAAGAAAGGGAATGATTAGCAGAGACTTATTTTTCATACATTGCAGAATCCCTGGAGCAAGCAGACACAGGAAGTGGGGATGGGTCTGGCGGCCATTTTGAAGAATTACAGCGGTCTCTCTATATTGCAGGTTGGTGTCATCAGTACAAGACACTCAGTGACTGTGTGTAGCTATTTGTAAATCAGTTTTGCTGTGCTTAATTTAATAATTTTTTTTCAAAAACCATGCAAGTATTATAAATATGTAAAGGCAGCATTTTTCAATTTGAAAACTTCTATACATAAATATTCATAACATTTTGTTCCTATTAATATTTTGAATGTTTGCATCAGTTTTCTTTTTACTTACAACTTAGCTTTCACCAGTTTTTCACCTTACCTTTGAAATTCACTATTTGTCTTGTTTGACATGAATACAGACTGTGACCAAGATCTGACCCATCACCGTGGCGGCGTGTCATCTCCGCTGGTTCCCGTGAGGTTCACTGGGGTGGTGCGCTGTGCTTGGAGGATAGGCGGAGGTAAGAAAATATAGTGAGGAACAAATGCTAGTACATCCTTCCTGATCTGTTTTTGCTATCAGTTTTGACAGATTTTAATAAATGAAAAATAAATGTGACTCGATGTTTTATGTCTAGATATTTTAGTGAGAAACAGAATGAGAATTTTGTGCATGAAAATGAAAATTATGAATGATAATCATAGCATGCAGAAAAAAAAAGAATTGCTGAAAAGTCAGTTAGTTAATACTAGAATTTGTATCCCTCCCAAACGAAAAATTTTTTTTATGGAACTGAAGATTTCATAGACAAATGCACAATGTTTTTTTTCCAGAAATGTTGAGATTTTTTTTACAAAAGTTTCATTCTGTACATTCCACTTTTTCCTTTTTCTGCAGGTGCTAATGCCACTAGAGTGAAGGTGTCTTTGTTACGTCGCACTCTCAGTAAGACATCTAGATGTCTGGGGAACATATACGTGCTGACAGAGAACAGTAAACAGAGAACTGGGGAGTTTGACAGGTACTACATGTACTGAAACTATATGACAAAGGACGATAAATATTACAGGGGAGGGCATAGTCTTATTTCATCTTAAAAGATAAGGGGCTGGTTGATGTTTTTTATAATTAAAATGTTTGACTTTTAGTTGTTTGTTAAGAGGGGCTATGTGTAATTCCCAAATACAGACATTGAAAAGAGAGTCTCATGACAAATGATGTAGTGATAAATTACTGAAGAGATAAGTAGAATCCATTTTGATAAATGTGCAGTTAAGTGACAGTTGTGATCATTATTATGATTAATAATGGCTAGACAAAAAGGAAGTGCAAAAGTACGGATTTAATTCTAAGGACTGTATATTTTCTATCATGCTTATTACACATAAACATTATATTACTGTATGTATTCTCCCACTGCCTTCTATATACTGCAGGTACAAGAGAGTCCGCTATAACTGTGCCAACACCTCCAGTTTGGTATTGAACACATCTAAAGTGGTCATCCATTGGTCAAGTGATGTCCATGATGCTGTCCACATGGCTTACATTGTAGGTGGGTAACTTGGTATTTGTAATCATTTCTTTCTTCAAAATAACTTTGCTTTACAAAAGTTAACATGTTTTATACAGCATTCAGAAATTTGTACACAGTTCCATTGCGGAAGACTGCCAATGAATACTTAAATATGTGCCACAATCTTGATTCATATTCAGCCAGAATGGCAATCCTCCAAGGCCCATCGTTCAAAAACTAAAATTTTATGTACTCAAGAAAATTTGATCTACATGTATCTCTTGCCTCATGCTGTTGTCTCTTTGCTGCAGGTAGATTACGATGAGTGCGCCGCGCAGTCTCATAAGTGTGCTCATGACTGCATCAACACCATGTCAGGGTACCACTGTGCCTGCCACCGTGGTTACATACTGACCAATGGTCAAGAATGCCTGCCTAAGCTGGTACAGTTTAGTGGTAAGTACATTTACAGTTGTCATGGCACGCATAACCATGGTTACACAATGACAAGGGGGTCAAAGTTTGCCTGCTTAATTAGCAAGTACCAGTAATCAGTTTTTTTCAACTGCCATGTTTCAGTTTCAAAAGATTTGTATTATTGATAGCAGTGAGATGTAGCTTTTTTATGGTTTTCCTGTTTTTCAAGCAATGGGGTGACATTTTTTTATCAATTCATCACATATTTTGGGGCTTTTTCTTTATGGTTTAAAACACTGTTGGAATGCATTTTGCATTTTCACTAAGTATTTTCTTTTACAATAGACACGTGTAATAGCACCCTGACCAGTATTCGAGGCAGAGTGAGATCTTCCACGGAACCTTATGGTACATGTGACTGGTACATCAAGCAGGAGGCAAAACAGAGAATTATGTTCAGTTTTAGCAAGTTTAACATCCCATCATCTGCCAACTGTAGTAACACATATGTTGAGGTCCTGGCTGGAGAAGGAAAGGTAATGTTATGATGTAATGGATATTGAATTTTTGAGAATATTTCATTTTCTGAACATACAAACATTAAGATTATTCACATTAAATTTTTTTGTAGATTAGGGCAGTGTTATGGCTTAGGTCAACATCCATGATTTTCTCCAGCTGTCAAAATAAATACCTTATGTGAATATAGCAGGCAATAAATTGAGCTTTTTTCTATTGCTTTGGCATTGGTTTTTTAAAATACATATGTTACTGGGATCCTAGGGTTAAAAATATATTTTAAAAAGTGATTATTTCTGTCATAGATATTGAATGAAAAAACTGAATGATATATTAATGACTGGTATATTTTTCTCTCAGGATTTGACATCTAAGGGTCGATATTGTGGGACAGAGCTGCCGTCAGCCATTACTACGGTGTCAGGGAAAATGGTGATACGGCTGCATATGACGCCACAGAAAGGAGTCAGAATGCCTTATTTCTCTGCAAGATATATAGTGTATAATAAGCAAGAAAGTAAGTTCTAATCCTGCTTTTCTTGATTGATATGATATATTTGTTTTTTTTTTTTAGCTTTTGTTTGGTTTTCTGATTCCATGTTACATGTCAGGACCACATTGACTTTTGAAATAAGGTGTTATTTGTTTTATTTAAGAAAATTTACATTTTGAGGCATCTTTTTTTTAGCAAATAAGATTGTTTCATTATGTAATGTGCCAAAATAATTTTATTTCCCATTATTTTTTAAGAATATTCTCTAATAGATTTTTAACAGAAAGTGTTTATAGGTTGACACGTTTTTTTTCAACTTAAATCTTAATTTGCCTTTTAATTTTAGGAACTAAATTTCAAAATTTATTTCTCAGGTTTCTGCTACAAACGCCTAACAGGAAAAGGGTTAATTACTAGCCCCAACTTTCCCAAAACATACCCCCATAACTATGTCTGCATCTGGAGAATTACAGTCAAGTCTAAACACAGAATAAAACTCAAGTTTGACACTATGGATATAGAAAACACAAAGAACTGTGAATTTGACTATGTTGAAATTCATGACGGTCGCCACAGGATATCTCCATTGCTAGGAAGGTATTGTGGGAAAAAGATTCCGAGGAAAATCTTGTCAACAGGTAGGTCATTGATTGCTTTATTGAATTTTCATGATACATTGTGTGTCTATTTAAAATAATGGAAATAATGGATATTATAATGAATGACAAGTGCAAAAGCGTGAAACACAGACCTATTTTTTGTTTGATTGTTGCATTTAGTCTGTTCTGACCAAACTTTGTATATAACAAAAAACATTGAAATTAGATTATTCCACCATTTTAACCAGAGTAGGCTTTTAAAAACATATCAATATTTTTTCTAGATATTTGGCCTTTTTGATCTGAGGCATCTTTCTTTTCAGACAGCTTTTAGAATGTTACAGTAGCTGTATAGCTTTGTATTGGTTGGATGACCTCACAATACTCACTGTTGGATTTTTGCTGCACAAAACGCAGAGGGTGATATTGATTTTTTAAAAGTATAAGCTTTAATTTCATCATAGGTAGACACCTGTGGCTGATGTTTATAACAGACGAAAGTGGAGCAGGGAGAGGGTTTCAGCTTCACTACTCACCAGAAGCCATTATGCCAAATGCTACAGGAAAAATAAACTAAAACAAAGACATTGCAGTCAACCCCAGACAACAGTGCTTAATACTATGTAATATTTATAACAGACAAAAGTGAGTCTGGGAGAGGATTTCAGATTTTCACATCAATTGAACCACCATGTTAAATACAGGGGAAATCATCTTTAAGAGGAGACATATTGGTGATATCCACTCTGTGACTTAGTGGATAAATATTACCCTCTACCAGGGTGGCAGATTATATAGGGAAAAACGGAAAAATCCAGACACAGAGCCAAATGACTGTCTATTTATCTAGAGACATATTTGTGAATATCTGTGAAAAATCAATCTGTCACCCTGGTAGAGGGTAGATAAATATGGGGTGTTAGATGAACCCAAGACCAGAATTGTCATGTTTCTGAAGTCTGAGTGATCATGTTTCCAGAATAGAAAGTTTATTATGTAATATATTATGATTTAATATAAGGAGACGGGATTGGTCTCTGTTTGAGAAGAATTGTATAAATTTATATGATATGTGAGTCGTTTGAAGAATAGCAGATATAAGCACCTGTTTGTCGTGATTGGCATGCATTCTCTTCTTCTGTTTCTTAGGTATTAATTATAAATTTAACAATCAAAAATAAGATGCAGAATTGTAGTTTGTTTTAAAATTACTTTACAAAAAAATTATAATTGTAATTATGCTCTTTTAAAGCATTATCAAATCGATAAAAGTGCCATACATTTTTTTATGACACAACATTATATAGAAAATATTTTGCTCTTTATTACTAGCATTGCAGGCATTGTCTTGATTTCTATGCCTCTAATTTGTAACGGGGATGCGTTGTGAACAGATTCATAGAATTGATTACCAAGGGATTAAGTGGTACACAATACCTCATTGCCATGGTAACTGAAAGTCTCTCAATCATTGGCTCAATCTCTTCATCATCTGCACGTAGAGAGCCTGACTGCAATAAAGGAACGCCTTGCTGTGTGGTGATAATTGATATGCCTTCAGGTTCTAGTGTGTATGTATCACTGGGGTGGATTTCAACGTTCTGCAACCTGAGGAAAATGTTGTTTCCAAGCACTTGAATAATTACGTGCCACAACAGCAGTAAGTACGAAATCAATCATTCTACAGTTTAACGTACAATTTTAACGTAAACATTAAGGGCGTTATGCCGTTATACATGTAGCTGTAATTTAACATTTATTTTGTGGCACACTTAAGGTGTTCTTTATGTTAGGTTCACATAGCCTGATGTGCAGTTCAGTGGGTGCGGTGTATTCAACTGCGATTCCACACTATCAAAAGCAGTTTCTGTGATGATGGGTAGTATCAGCTGCGGTAAAATGAGTACATGACGCAAAATAAGTTATAAATTCACGTTTTGAGGTTTTACAGGTTTTTTTTCACCATTTTGAGCACTGCTGTCGTTTTATATCGTAAAAATAACGAAAACCTCTCAGGAATGAAGCTTTGTTAATTTAAGCAGAAATAGTTTGACGTCGGTTTGTTACCACGTGTTATAATATGATATGATGTAATGATCTGAATCAGTACCTGTATATGCAGTTTATTTCACCGAAAAATAATATCTTTAATTGGAAAATGGGCTCAGATCTTCTACGTTTTACAGTAGTCCTTTTTTGTCGCATATAGAATCTAATTAATCTGGGCTTCTCTCGGCGTGTCCTTGTATATTGGCTGCAACGTGTTTCTCAACAAAAATGACAAGAAATCAATTTCATTTAAAACGTAGGAAAATCACTCTTCTTTGAATCGCCAGAGAGTGCCTAGTTATCGTAAGTAAGATTATGAAGATTTTTAAACATCTAACAGTTTTCTGTCTAGACCTAATATCTGCTAGCATATATTAAATAGAGTGCGTGTGAGAAGTGCGTTTGTACTGTAGTTAAAGTTCAGTAACTGCACCACTTTCGGCATACATCAATACTTTCAAGTGCCAATATTTCATTCCCATTCCGATCATTGTACATGTATTCTCTTTTTTTTTAGCATTTTCTGAGGCATTGACTCTTGGTTTCATGTGGTCGCTGCTCCTGCCCATGAGGAGTAATGCGTCTTTAATAAATGATTTATAGACCACTCTAGAGACAAACCTCAAACTTAACTTAGAGAAATTATGATTCAAAATTCATTATCAATAGATATGTTTTTAAATAACGTAAATTAAAACCTGTCAATAATACGCATTTAATCAAACGTGACTCAAATGTCGCTGTTTTTTTCACAGGGATTTCACCTATAAGACGCTACCCCTCTTTGACCAGTATTAAAACAGTTGCCTGGTTATCTTTGAGACCATTCCCACAGATATTTAGATCGATCTATCCCCCTACTAAAAGCTGTAAGGGTGCAATTACCTTTTGTGCGCGTTCGGCTCCCGGAAGCTGACAGCAATTTAGCGTGAACCACCAGGGAGTTAGGTCGATCCAGATGGATCGATCTAAATCGGTGGGAACCCGGTCTTAGACCCCGTTCCCATAGACATCATCGGTCTACAAGAATCAACCCAACTCTGCGGGGACTCGCTTAGTGCAATCAGCTTAATTGAATGACACGCTTCCTTTCGTTTCCAACG